CCACAAAAACAGGGGCTAAATTTTCTTTTCTTTCTTTTTATGGGGGGCAGGGGGTGTTTGAAATGTATACCAGCTGCATAGTTCACAAATTTCACTTCTTGGTCTCGATTCAGCTGCTCCAACTTGGATTCTTTTTCCTTCTATAACAACAAGAAGAAAAGTCTAAATAAATAAAAACAATGCTTAAATCCACAACAATATGTGCGTAACACTAATAGAAGGAGAGACCTTGAGCTTGGTGTATTTGTTGTAGAGCTTCGAGTAAAGCGCCTCCATCTAAAACCAAAAACCCAAAACAAGAAGCCACAAAAAAAAAACCAGATCAGATTCTGAAACCTAATTTTTCCATACCCATTACAGCAGCAGAAAGATTTTTGTTTTTAAATAAAAAATTAACGGGGCTACAACAGCATGTATAACAGATTAATGATATGGAAGAGAAAAGGAGAAAAACAGAAAAAAGTGAAAGAAAAGGAAATCAGTTAACTTTATCCAAGTCATCAATCAGTGCACAATTATATGCAAGTATCATTACTCTATCAAATTTACAGGAAAAGCTAAATCAGAAAATTGACATTACACTTACATTCCGAAAGCGAAGAACTTTCAAGCACGAATCTGCTGATCGATAAAGCAAAGGGTCGGATCGCCGGGTTTGAATTTGAGTACGAAACGCAACGGTGTTTCTCAAATTTGAATTGGGCGGACACGGACAATAATTAAGCCCTGTTGAGTACAACTTCTTTCAATCAAATAATATTTTTCTAACCATATATTCGTCGTGGCATCACTTTTTAAAATGCATTCTTTCCTCAATAATATTCGTCAAACATATCCTAAAGGAAACATCTTACATTTATAACTGAAAACATATCCTATTTGACATTGGTATATAATTGCGATTATTTTCAACCAATGTTGTGCACTTGGCTTTATTTTATGGGGGTGCGAATAATTGAGATTTCTGAAAATTTTGATGGACTTTTTTCAAGTGATGACTTTTATTGATTTCGTAATTTTTTTTTGAGATTTTTATGGAATTAGTAGAATTCTTTTATAGATTTTTATAGACTTTCATTTTTAAATTTTTATAGACTTTTGAAAATTTTAATTTGAAAAATAAATTACGTGAATTTAGTGCAATATTGTGATATTATCACAGGTGGTGGTTTTCTCTTTCCCTATCCCTATCAACCTCCATATAATAAAAAGATATTTTGAAGAGAATAAAAATTTAAGATATTAATTAAATAAATGATGATAATAATTGTACATATAAAAAATAAATTTAATATTCAGTATTATTAATATAATATACCTTTAAAAAACAGATATTTTTCAGAAAAAAATGAATGAAAAAAGAAAAGAAAAAAGTTATAAGAATACAATTTAAATTTTTTCATAGAAAATAAAAATAAATAATAAGAGAATGAAAAAGAAAAATAGAGACTAATATAATTAATAGAAAAAATAAATTTTAATCATAACCCTAATATTCGTAAAAGGGGAAATGAAAGAGAAATGTTGAAAAGAAAAAAAAATATTAATTTATTTTTTATTGTGAAGTCTCCCAAAATCTTACGATTAATGAGAGACAAATTTTGAGATTTTATTTTAGTACTTTTTACTTGAAAGTTAGTAACTCTCTATAAAAGTCTCTAAAAATTATTAAAATTTGAATACTCCAAAATTTATAAAGACTTCCAAAAGGTTTTAATTCAATATATCGTAACTTATATAAACTTTTTAGAAGTTTATAAAAGTTTTAATTGAATATACCAATAATTTTAGGAAATCTTCAAAAGTTTACATTGAATATCAATGGACTTTTTAAATTTCAAAAAGTCATTAAATTAAAAAAATTAAACTCAATCATATCTTGTCGTATCATATATATGTATACCAATCTATAAGTATCGATTCACGTGTAGCACAATCGATTATTAAATATAGGAAGCGTGTAATTGCAAATGGCACGTTTTCAATTAAATAGTTGATAATTAAATGAAAAAATTTAACTTATATTATGATTACTGCGACTCACATATTTCATAAATGCTCCAAGTACGAGACGTCTATACATAGAAAGCAAGCGATCCTCTCGACTAAACTACGATTTACTTAAGCAAAATAAACTCTTGAAAAAGCTATCAATTTCCCGTCCCGACGAAGTCACCTTAGCCAATTTGAGGATCAACTCTTGAAAAAGACTATAATTTGGGGATCCAAGAAAGAAATTGTTAGGAAGATGCGAATAGTAAGGAAGTGTTTCAACTGTATTCTCCTTTTAATCTGCTCATCCATTCGAAGAGAGACAAAACTCATATCTTCTCTCTGGAAAAGCTTTTGATTTCGGCTCTGTAAATTTTGATTCTTTATTAAACGAAGAAAGAATCGGACATGAACGACAAGGCATCCGTTTCCAAAGAGCTCAATGCCAAACATTCAAGGGTAATCTGGCTTCCATAAATCTTTCCTTTTTTAGAAAAACAAAATTGGTTCGGTCATCTATTCATTTTCAACTATTTCTTTAATCTTCAGAAATTCGCCTGCTTTTAGGCACATGGAAACTCTCTTAATTCTGCTCTGGGAAATTATATATTCATTAGGTTACAACGAGATTACAATAATTGAGTTCGTAACAAAGGTCGCTTTTTAAAATGCTATAATTGAGTATTATACACTGGTCATTGAATTTGTTGCTTCTCAATGAATTTCCCTGCTTTGTAACACGCTGATTGACTTGGTTTTTATTGATTTCGAAATCTCGTTCAACTTAAATGGCTGACATAATTGTTCGGACTTATCTTTAAGAGATTGTTTTTTCATAGCTTTAATTATGGTTTTCATGACTGAATTACATATTTTTAACAGTGTTGAAAAATTATTTCAGATATTGGAGGGTCTCTTTAAGCTGCCTGAGAATAGGGAATGTGCAGATTGCCAGAGCAAGTATGTTTGTAGTATGATCCAAGTTTTAACATAGACTACATTCTAGATTGATCATGTACTATGTTCCTTGGCTTGTAAGGATGTATGATACCTTGTACATGGTGGTCTAGTGTCAAATTCTGCTATTTCACAGTTGTTCAAAGCGAAGTTTTGGTCTTATTTACTAGTTCATCGGGTAACACCATCTGATTTTTAATTCATTCTCTGGGGGACGTGATTGTAAAATTTTCAGGGCTCCACGATGGGCAAGTATCAACCTCGGAATTTTTATTTGCATGCAATGTTCAGGAATTCATCGGAGTCTTGGAGTACATATATCAAAGGTTTGCGTGCTGCACACACCTGTCATTTCCCTTCGTCAATTTTCTCTTTTTCTTGGAATTTGATGGTTGTGTCAGTTATTACTCTTAAAGCTTCCAGTATCGTTAAAGACAATATTTTGTTTAAACATCATAAGATTGTCAATAATTAGAGTTCATGTTAGGCATACTGATGGGAATCCTGATAGTACTTTATATTATTCTTGAGTTGTTTTCCTACTTAAGTTACTTGAAACACATGGCTTATGCATTGTAGTATTTAAACTTGATTATTGAATAAACCCAGATTTCTCCCTCTAATTCTCTCTATTCTCTCCTCTTCTTCTCTTTCTCCTCTCCTTTCTCTTCTCTTCTTCCCCTTCTTCTACAAGTCTCGTTCTTGTTCAGTGTGTTCTTCATCACATATGTTCCCAACCAGGTTGGGACTTCAATTTCTCTGCATCAATGAGGCAACTGCTAAGGGTCCTTTTGGTTTGTGATTTAGTTTTTAGTTTTGAGTTTTGAATTCATTTTCAATTTTCTGTTTTGAGTGTCTATTTTAAAATTGTTAAAAACGTGTTTGGTTTGTCATTTTGAAAAATTATTTTTCAAAACGGAAAACAAGAAAATACGTTTTTTTTTTGAAATTTTGAAAAAAAAAATTGTTTTATTATATTGTATTCCATGAAATTTGATTATTCAGGCCCTGATTGAGCCAAATTATTGGAGAATGAGAATGAAAAATATAGTTGTTATTGGGATCCACATAAAAGATAGAAAATTTGAATTTAAATGTTGATGTGATGGATAATGGTCATATTTTTCATTTTAACGAGATAATAATGTAGATCAAACGGGAGCTCAATAAAATAAAATAATTTTATGTTAATATATTATCAAGTAATATGTACATTTTAAAGGTGGTGAATTTGACAATAATTTTTCTCAATGCAAAAGTAAAATAAATAATAAATAATAAATTGAGTTCAAAATATAGGAAATAAAAATAAAAATTAATGACGTGGATTGAAAATATTTTTATTTTTGTGTTTGAATTATATTTTTAGAATTTTTATGTAAATAATCATTAAGAAATTAAACTATTTTTCATTTTTTATTGTCTATATTTTTTATTTTTCTAGAAATTTTATAATTTTATTTTTTCAAAATTTTTATTTTTTAGAATTTATTTTTTTGGAATTTTATTTTTAAAAAATAAAAAAAATTGTATTTGTTAGAATTTTATATATTTATTTTTAAAATTTTATAATTTATAAAAATAAAATTTTATTTAGACGTTTGTTTTCCATGATTTGAGTATTATTAGAATTTTCACTGAAAATATTCAAAACGTCAGAAATACGTTTTAAGTTTTATGTTATAAGTTTAACCTTGTTTTCGAAAATATATTTTCAGAAATACCAAACCAAACACAATATTTAGCATAATTGAAAATTGAAAACAGCAAACCAAATGCACCCTAATTTGTTTCAACTAAGAAAGCCTTAAAATAAAGTTCTTGAATTTGGCTACACGATTTTCGCTATCTTTTCAATGAAGCGAATGTGTGATTTTAAAATTATTCAAATCGAACCTGAAGTGAATCCTAACTTTTTGCACTAAAACTTGATGCTAGACTATTCATCTTAATGATTTGAGTTGATGATGGAGTATATTGATATGAAATTTACAACTAGGTGAAAAACTACCTCTATTATAATAATTTAATCATGTTTCCATCCCCATTGGCACTTTATTCTTTTCACTATATACTTTTGTGCCTTGTGAAGAGTACAGAAATGTGATATGCGATGCTGGTCTAGGAAAATCCAATTCTATTATGCATGAACATGATGCTCTTTTCATGTGTGGATCTATTTGCTGTCTAATGACTTTGAATGTCTGTATTTCTATTATTCTTTCTTCTTCTTGTTAATTGTTGCCTTCTAAATAGGTGAGGTCTACAACTCTAGATACATGGCTACCAGAGCAGGTTGCTTTCATGCAATGTAAGTCTCTCCTGAATAAGTGTATGTTTGTGCGCTCATGTTGATTTATCTTTATCTTTCTCATGTCTCAGCGGTTAGCCGGAGCAAAATGTACCTATTGACTAGATGAATGTGTTTTGGTTAGTTTAGTGAACAAGCTCTGAACTTTTGTCCATTCTTGTTCCTTATTTTTCTATAAATAAATGAGCAATTTGTGAATAGCTGACTTTTTAGAAGAAAATATTTGCAAAATGAGCCAAGAACAATGAGCATATAATGCACTCCAATCAATGGACGGTCAGTGGAAGGAAAGGAAAGGATAGGCGAGGAGAACTCGTATTCAGAAACTTATTTCCTGAAGATTCCTCCCCAATTTTCCATGCCATATATATATATATAATAGATTTTGGGGCTTGTAGTGCAACTTTTGAATTAGAACCATTCTTGATCTATTATTTTGTTTGTGCAGCCACGAGTAACGAGAAGTCCAATAGTTACTGGGAAGCAGAACTTCCGCCGAATTTTGACAGAAACCCAATTGAAAAATTTATTCATTCCAAGTAACTACTTTCTTGTTATATATATTTACAAGCACAAGTAATGTAGAACATGATTCTCCTTTTCTCTTAGCTTTAGTAAATTAGTTGTCGTTTTCAGGTACGTGGACAAAAAATGGGCTTCTAAAACTACCGTAAAACCAATGCCTATAGTAGGCCAAAAGGGTTATAGTCCTGAAAGATCTGTAGGTGTGTCCAGAAGTGGAATTCCAAAGAAAGCAAGAAAATATTCTCTGGAGGAAGAAGCTTTTAGCAATAACATGCCACATTTTGCTTCTACAACAAGAGCTCGTGGGGTAATGCTCCTAGTTTGTTCAGCTTTTACATATCTGCTTCAAAGAAATTTCTAGACTGATCTTAAGTCGACCACTATGCTTGGTGTGTGTGATGAGCCTCCATGACTGTAGAGTGTAGAGTATTGAAATGACTACAAAGGTTCTAGTCTAAATTTTGAACTTCTATTTTTTCCCCCCTCGAGTACTTAGTCAATCTTTTACGTAAACGAAATTAAATGATAAGTAGAATAATGGTCAACGAGAGAGTAACAAGTCCTAAAGAAGCCATAGCACAAATAATGCAACATATTACGTAATTTAGATAGAATTAGAAAATGTCAGACACGCTACATAAAACTGCACCGATTGTCATCTGATGATCTGCAGCCTTATGATAGCACAAACCAGACAGTTAACCTAAGACTAGCTATCAGGTTTTCCACTTTGATATCGCATCCCTCTATATGATTCCTATTCATTATTTAATTTACTTTTGTAGACCGTTTTCGACCATTCTAGTTGTAAACCAGAAAACGCTGAAAGTATTGACCCCATATTTCTATTTCGACAGGGTTCATTGGATTTGATGAATGACAACATTTTAGTTCCACCAAAGGCGACCATTTCCGAACAAAGTACATCTCGTAAAAGCGTTGATACTGCAACGGATCTCTTCAGTCTGCTCTATGTTTCGGATGCACAACAGGATCGCACTGTTGTACCTCCATCACGCTGGGCTACTTTCGATTGTAAGATACTATTTTCAACGTAGTTTTTTTTTTTCAAATATCTTAGTTTTTCTAGAGTACTGGTAAGACCCTAAGCAAACTAATAGGCCTCGTAGTTACCAGGAATGCTGCATTTATTGGGCAATGTCTTAGTCTTTTTGTTAATAAGAGACACACAAAAAAAATAAGAGCAACACATGACTTAATGCTCACATACAAAATGATTGCAGTTATGCTTCTGTCTTTGGATAGCTGGTTCAATATAGACTAATGTTGATAAGGATAGGTATCATTTAGATTGTTTGGAATTGAAAATAGGGGTATTTACTTTTGAAGATTACCTGTGATTCATACCTTGACATGTATTTAGGAGCCAATGCATTCAATAGAGGAAGAGATGTATTTGATCGCTAAGAACTTCTGTACTGAGAATTTTCAGTTGGTGAGAAAACAATGGGAAGGATGGTACTCATGTAAAAGGTATGCCTTATAAGACGACTGGTTTATATATCATTCACCTTTCGCTATATGAACGAATATAATCTATGACAAATTACATCTTTGTGTTTCCCACCAATGAGGATTGCTTATATATATATATATAGACACACACACACACAGACACAGGCCATATCTTCTTGATTGGCATCATTATTGAATTATCTCCTCTTTGCTTTTATGGATAGTTCTTTATTCCTCGTTCTTCGTTTTGGCTCTATGATGCAGGTTCTTGATCGACCAACACATTTGTGATCTTACCGGCATCCATTTACAAATACCAGTCTATCTGTGAAAAGCACTGTTGGAATGTCAATTAATTGAGTTTTTAAATAATCTCTTAGTTCTGGAATTCGCTCTGCCACTCGTGTTTGCCTCTAGCTTTTGGATTGTTTTGTCTTGTTAATAATTTGATATGGCTTGGACCATTAATTCATTTAAAAGCACAGAAAAACATTGTATATATGTATAAGCTCTGAGGGAAAAAGAGGTATGGCATGTACATTCTTTAGCTTCTGTCATTTTTTAATATTTAAAGCATGCTTGGAAGTGTTTATAAACGACTTTGTTTATAAATAGATAGAAAAGAATGGCATGAGGATAAGTGGGTAGTTCTTGTCGATCTCTCGTGTGGATAAAAATGTGATTTGAATGTTTATAAACATGAGTCAAACATAGGGTAAGCCTCGGGAATCTTGCACCAGTCTAAATCAGATAGACATCGAATAACTGAATTGAAGGCACAGAGCTTACAAGAAAAATAAGAAATAGATTAATAAGCTTGATTCATAATTTATCGTATCCACAAGAAGAACCACAAAGAGATAATAAGAATAATAACATGGGAGTGGACTAGCTTTTTCGAGTCTCAGGCAGCTATGGAACTCGAGTACTGAAGCGTAGGCGGTTGAATTAACAGGGTCATGGAGAAAACAGAGAACTGGTTAATGGGGAGTGATTGAGAAATGGATTGGAATGTGTTTGAATCAGGTTTTGAAAGTAGAGTTTGCCCCTATACTTAAATTCATGGACTTGGGGCGATGGTGCCATGGTGGTGTGTGCAAGCTATGGATCGAAGCAGTGAAGTCATTGGTGCGTGAATTATTCCCAAGACTATGGTGACGGTAGTAGTAGGGTGAGAGACGGTAGTAGTAGGGTGAGAGCGTGTGGGCCGGGTGGGTGGAGAAGAAGATGAGTACATTCATTTTACTTGTGGTGGATTTGTGTGGTGGGTGGATAGAAGAAGTTGAAGAACACGAAGCTTTGGTGTGGTGGTGGTAGAAAGGGGTTAATTTGGAAGATTGAAACTATTTTCCTTTTTAAATAATGTTTTTAATTGTTTTAAGCGCGACTCGCTTATACTTGTTTAAAGATTTGGAAGTCTGACTAAAACTATTTCTCTATTTACTTAAGGATGAGGGTAAATTCGTCATTCTACAATGTATTAATGGAGGAAATGGACGGTAATGATGTTTCGCACAATCGATGGGAAGGTCCAAATACTAGAATTGAAACGATAGAGAAGGTTTTTTCGCAAAATTGGCGAAAGGATATGGATATTAATTGTCCCTCATAAAGAAATAAATTATTTTTTTTAAAAAAAGATATTGTTTGGGTTTTGATAAAAATAAATAAATAAAATAAAATAAAATTAATAATGTTTGTTTTCCATAACCTAACCTACCTGACCACAAAAATAAAATATCATAAATAACTAAATTATTTTTTTAAAAAAAACATATTGCTTGGGTTTTGATAAAAAATTAAAATAATAATAAAATTAATAATGTTTGTTTTCCATAACCTAACCTACCTAACCACAAAAATAAAATAATTTGTGCAGTAGTATGAACCATCTTAGATTTCAATTATAGATATTTGAGTTCACATTCTAGATAAATCTACGCGTTCTTGGGTGTGTTTGAGCCACGTAATTTTACCCCACGTAATTTTGATAAAATATATTTTGGAATAGTAGATTGATGGAGAATGTGTGGTTGAAAAAGAAGGAAAAATTATTAATGTGATAAAAAATATTATTTTATTGAAGTATGTGTGATCGAAAATGAGTAGAGAAATAAAAATGAAAATATTATTTTATTGTCCGGACTTGACGAACTCGACGAACTCACCAATAAAAGTTTTGACATTTCACTGCAAATTAAAGTGTCAAAATTTTAGTGATAAAATAGACGAGACTGTGGATGTGAGCTCAGAGATCTTCCAATTTTTCACATACTCCAAAATGTAGACCTCGTTTAATACAGAAAAATTCACAGGAAGACAGTTGAATTTCCTGCACTCATAGCATAGAACATAACCAAACTCAAACAAGAAGCTTCCGGTCATAACAAGATATTTTCGGAAGACTTCACCTCTGCATTCTTACCGGGGCGGCGGCTATGCTTTGAAAAACAGATGGAATAAAAAATTGGGAAACGGTCCATATGGCGTGTAGCTGTTTATATTTATTCAAAATTGAACTTCCACGCTTGACTTTTTAAATCTTCACAAGAAACAAATCCATATTATTTTCCTATATAATGAACTCAACCCCTCACCTCATTTCACACAGCAGAATTATTACTAATTGCGATTCCAAATGGCTGCAGATCAAATTTCAAAGCCTTACCTACCATTCATGTTGAGACTCAAACTTTGCATTGGTAATTTTTTTACGAGAATCTGTCTCCGTTACGACGGAACCATCAATCGAAGCCTTTTCGACCTACTTGACAGAAAAGTAGCGGCTGGTTCGACCGTAGTCGTTGACAACATCCACGTCTCTTCGTCCGATGTCACGGTCGACCCCTCCCGCAACCTTTGGTTCCGTCTCTTCGTCCCAAGAACCACTCGTAAGCTACCCCTTGTTATTTATTTTCATGGTGGAGGTTTCTCATTCTTTGGCGCGGACTCAAAGCCGTGTGACGATTTATGTCGCAGCTTGGCAGCGATATTCCCCGCCGTAATCGTATCCGTTAACTACCGTCTCGCCCCAGAGTTTCGTTATCCTTGTCAGTATGAGGATGGATTCGATACCTTAAGATTCATTAATGCTCAAAACTACAACATTTTACCCCCAAACGTCGAACTTAACAAATGCTTCCTGGCTGGAGACAGTGCAGGAGGCAACATAGCCCATCATGTAACTTTCAGAGCTTGTCATAACTCCCAAGAGCTTGACAAGCTAGTCATCGTCGGACTTGTGGCATTGCAGCCATTTTTCGGGGGCGAGGAGCGGACAGAGAGCGAACTACGACTGACTAAGGCGCCTATACTCAATGTCGAGGGTACAGACCGCCTGTGGACGATGTTTTTGCCACAGGGTGCTAATAGAAACCACCAGGCAGTGAATGTTGAAACCAACTTTGAGACCACGGACATGAAGAATACGAAATTTCCAAGCTCTTTGGTGATTGTGGGAGGATTCGACCCGTTGCAAGATTGGCAAATAAGGTATGCTCAAGGGTTGAAAAAGAGTGGTAAACAAGTGGAATTGATCAAGTATCCTAATGCATTTCATAGTTTCTACGGATTTCCAGAATTGCCTGAGTTTGATTTGTTCATCAAAGATGTAAGAAATTTTATTCAGAAGCAATCAACTGATAGTATCGATTGACGTGATGAGGCACCGACCTTGCTTGCATTCTTCGGCAAGCTTTTATTTCTTGCTGTACTCGGTCCGCTCGAGCAAAGACTGCCTTGCTCATTTCTTTCCCTTCCCCTCAAGGGCTTGGCTTGCTCGAACCAACAGTTACACTATCCGATTCGTTGAAGATGGCCCCCACTGCCACCTAAATTAGTTCTACTAGATAATACATTAACTCATTTCAACGACTCATGTTGGGTAGTTTATGTTTTCTTTCGGGTTAGTTCAACAAAACAAATATAAAAGCACAATTCTTCCTGGATTTGAGGGAAAGTTGGTTGTCTACTTGTCTTGGCTTCGACGAATTAAACAAATGAAACCCTGAGATTCTGGAATATTTGGACAGACATTATTGTCCACTATGTTGGCTGGGAAAGTTGTGTCAAAACTAGCCAAAATAAAATGGGGCATTAATTCTTTCAAGGAAATAAAATTGGGAGATGCAGTCTCCTTTTAATTATGGAATCGACGACAAAAATTTATATATAGTTGGCAAAAGAAATTGGTAAATTCCCATGTTTGTGTTCAGCCGTTTTTGTTTAGAATTAGGTGAAAAATTGAACAACGTTCTCTCTATAAATTGACGATTTTTTTTTTTTTGGTTTTTAGTGTTTGTGAATTTATCTAGAGGGAAAATTATAAGTCTAGTATCTTGATTTTTTTGCTTTTTGTGAGTTGTTCAAATAGTAAAATTTGGTAGGTGTACTAAAGTTTAAGATATTTTTTTTATGACACTTGGGAGGTTTGGTAATCAAGAAATATTGTGTGATTGTACAAATTTTTCATATTGTGATAGGTTTGACCACCATAATTTTTCTAAACAAGAATTCTGTAGATAAATAAGAAAATCGATCTCAATCCCCAATAACATATTCATGAAACGAGAGCATTAAAAAGACAAGAACTCTCTTAAATATGCACAAAATGTGATGTTAAGATCCAATTCTTTCTTAGAGTATGCTAGCCGAAGACAACTTAAATTAAAATGTCTGAAATCAAGAACTAAAATAGATAAGGAAATGGTACTCCCTCCATCCCAATTATATAGGCTGTGTTTCCTTTTTCTCATGTCTCAAATATATAGGTTTGTTTCCTAATGTATAATATTTTGTTGTGTTCTTTTATTAATATGCCCTTATTACATTTTCCCTATTTAATATGCAAACTTTTTGAAAATTCAAATTCTTTATTAATTCCAACAATAATTTAGTTTTACACATTGAAAATTAAATATGGGTAAATTAGGAAAATGTTGACAAAAATTAATTTTTCAATGACATTAAATAAGCTTTCTTAATCCGTATGAAAAACTAAACAAGCCTATATAATCGGGACAGATGGAGTAGTTCTTTTCCGCTTTGCATCTCGAACCAAATAATAGAATGCATTGGCAAGAATTCTATAATAGTAAGGGTGACAATTGGATTGAACGACTCGTCAACTCGCCCGCTCTGCTCGTCTGGACTGGCTCATGGGTTGCTCGACGTCATCTAGGAACGAGTTCGAGCTTGGGCCTGAGTTGAGCCTACACGAGCCCGAGTACGAGATGAGCATAAAAAATTTGGACGAGCTGAACTCAACTCGATTCAACTCAACTCGGCTCGGCTCGGCTCGGCTCGAGTTTGAAAAATGTGACCAACATTTCAAAATCCCAATATGACCATTGGTGATTTTTTTTTTTTTTTTAAAATATACTTTATAAATACCAATCATTCTATTTAATTTTTTTACACACACTCTCTACAATTTATCTACATTCTAAATTTCTCGATTTCTTATTATTCCTCATACAAGTAACAAACACAATTAGTCAATTAATTTATTTACAAGTTCACATTTGATCACTTGTCTTCATCTAACTCCGGACAAATGATATATACAGGTATGCAAATTGTCATTGGGCATTGAAGCTTGTGCATGACACGTGTTTCAATAAATCATGATCTTGCTTGTTTGTATTGTTGGGACGAACACCCACTCAGTTGTGTCAAATTTCATTGCTCGTAAATGCCATTGACAACTATCATCTATACAGATAATTTTGTAGGTAGCCATTTTGATTGTGTTTCAATGTAATCATATGAACTACTTGCTAAAGATATCTCTTGTTGTCATAAAATTGGTCAATTTGCAAATCTTTATCGTTTAAAATTACACGTGAAGTACAAAAAGACCGTGAATTGGGCAAGTAAAATAGCTATTAACCAACAACTTTGGTTTACTAGAAACATTGACATATTTTTTTAGCTAAGTAGAAATAAAATCCTCTCAACCTGTGAGTCCCCACCTCACTCGTGTCTATGCTTGTATAAAATAGTTAGATATTGATTTTTATATAGAATTTCCTACTCATTGTATTGAACTATTTCAAGAAATTGTGTGTAACTGTGAGATCATAATCTGTAGCAATTGTCTCCGGGATAATTACACCATCCTCCCGAGCTACATCCAATGTGTCCCAGAAATCATCCACATTATGGTCCACTTCATTGATTTCTTCATGTTCATTCTCGAGAATATTCTTCCTCACAAGAATTACGAAAAGATGATGTATTGCAGTTTTTATTTTTATTTTTTATTAGTGGAATCAAGAAATTTGAATGGTAGGGAAAAAGAAATTCCAAATCCATCTCGTATTCAATGGAATCAACATTGAGAAAATTTTGTACATCCCAATACACGTTTGTATATGATGCATCCACTCTTAAATAAAGAGCATAGCACCTCTCTATTACTTGTCTAATTTCATGTCCATCGACCATTTTCATTTCTTTGAAACTCACCAATGTTATTAACTACGACGAGCATCGATTCCATATCTTCATTTTAATACAAATTTTAGAGAAAGTTAGATGACGAAGAGAAGGGGCTAAATAGTACCATAGACGATCTCGATCGTTAGTCATCATCGATTAACAGATTGCATGCGTTTTTTTATTTTATGTTACTTTTTTTCGTTAATTTGCTAAAAAAATACACAATTTATTTCAATAATTCGTACCCATATATCTAACCACTCTAAATTAGCCAACGCAACTAAAAACAAAATAAAACTGACGAAACCAAAAATAAGCAAACGCAAAAAGTGCAAATGTACTTACTGATTCAAAATAATGTAATAATTGTTCACAAGATAATTGTGTTGAGCTTTAGAAGAAGTTTTTGAGTTTTAACTGTGGAGAAGATGAAGAATGAAAGAGCCATCAGTTTTCAATTTGAATTGGAATGAATGGTTTTCATTTTAATTGGAAGGGTATTTATTTCTTATTATCCTTAACTTATTTTTGTAACATGTAAACCTTAAAGAGTGGTATTTTTGTCTTTTTATATAAAGAGGCATTTATCACTTATGCTTTGTAAGTTAGGTTTGTTGTCAAATTATGCTTTGACTAGCCTATTGTGAAAATTTCCTCCTAAATTAGGTTTGGTTGTAGTCCGGTCTATCTATTTGATAAGTTGTGGAGCTCTATTATTGTCTTTGTATTGAGTCTGTATGTAGATCGATCTTATTGTCCTTGTGTTGAGTCTGTATGCAGATGATCGATCTTATTGTCTTAATTTCTCTTATGAATATGGAGCGGTTATTAAGATGTTATAACATCATTAAAAAGAAAGAGAGGCTAGAAAAAGTAGTATGCAATTTTTCTCTCGCCTTCTTTTTATCATAGTGAATTACAGTGCGACGGATTGGGACATAATCACATGTTGAGTAAACCTCTATAAAATTAGCATGTTCTTTTGTGTCTTTATTTTTTTACTACGATTTATTGCTCATGATGATATAAAATTAGAGTCTCTAATTCTCAGTACTATCTAGACTCATCCACCCACTACCCTAAGCGGATTTGGTTTGGGTGTTCGCGTTGTATCATACAAACTATAAAAGAACGGTGGGATGACTCAAGGTACGTATTAAACTAAATAAAATGAAATAATAGATGAAATTTTATTTTCTTGATATTATCTAGTATTATTTAGTTCCTGTTACTGGTCAATTAGAAAAAGCGTACTTCAAAATTTGACTGATGCAAAAAAATAAAAAAAAGAAGCATATCCAGTCAGAATAAAATTGAAAAAAAAAAAAATAAACAATTTTATTATGCGAAAAAACAAGCTTCTTCATTCGAACCCTAAAATATGGTCACTTGATATGCTAAAGTAAAATGATAGCTTAATGTTTACATGAGCATAAAGACTACTTAATGATAGTGACAATTTGGGATATAGAATTCTATCCATAAATAATATGACAAGATCATTGGATGCCGTATAGTGAATCCTATTGACTTCACTTGTCCAATATTCACCAATCACGAATTGATAAATATATATAAAAATGACATGAACTTTTAATCAAATAAGTGGTTATCGAACTTGTGTCGCGACAAGACTTGTTCAAGAACTTTGAGCCACTCTACAAACTTTATAGACAAGCCATAGTTTTTTTTTTCAATCATAAGATTATTCGGTCCACACAAGTCACATGAGGTTTCTTGCTAATCTCCTGTTTGTCTACTATTATTCCAAAAAATTGTTTGCTACAGTAAGATTCTTCACCACACATTCACCCAATAAAATATTCTACACACAAACCAATAAAATAATGGAAGACAAACACACCCTAATTAGGCAATATTTGAAAAATATTCAAATTCCTATTTATTTAGGTATCAAAGTCAAACCATTCATCGAATAAACTCTCAAAATACTTTTTCCGCAAATAAGATATTGACGCAAGTTTATGAAGTGTATATAAATAAATAGAAATGAGCAATGTGTAGTACTTATGGATCTATCGTAATGTGAATAAAAAATAAATTTAGTATTTCTAAACAGTTTATAAATCTGAGCCAACGTAGACTTTGTGGCGCTTGAAATTTTGAAACGCATGGACTAAGTTTTACCCAAACACACCTAAGGCCTCCAGATTTATTTCCATTATTGAGATTTAATCACTTGCAACTTTGATATGAGACAAGATATGGACAAGTCATTTGCTCTCAACCACACAACTAAAGGGGAAACAAAAAATTTAAGTTGGTTTGTTTGGCACTCTGTTGAGCTCAATCCACTGCATTTGTACTCTTTCTATCTCATCTTCTCTAGGCTAAAAATGATAGTTGGTGGGACAATCTCAATTACTTCAATT